AAAAAAAAAAAAAAAAAAAAAAAAAAAAAAAAAAAAAAAAAAAAACACATAAACTGAGGGGATTGAAGGACAAGGGGCATAAACGCAGTTTTTGCTATTTTGAGAAATTTGTTTGAGAATATTCTTTGAAGTTTCGAAATTACACGAATCCTCATTGCGGAAAGGAAACTGGAACTGACTTTTTGATGCTTGAAAATTGGAATTTGAGAGCGAATGTTTCATACAGTATGCATTAACACTAGTTTTACTTGAAATAATTATTAATATTTTTTAAAAGCTGCACTTACGCGCCTTGTCCTCCAAGCCCCTCAATTTATGTTATTTTGTGCCGCAAAAATGAACTTTTTTGTTGCAAATCAGGAGAAATCCTATATTGTGGGTGTGGACTGTGGAACATGTAAGCTCTCCTTCGATTTTATGAAAAAAGTATGCTATAAAGGAGGGGCTGTGGGAATGCAGATCCTGTGCAGGGAAGAAAAAAACAAATCGGGAACATGCTCCAATTTTTTACGAGAAGTGATGTATCAATTTGAGGACCTGTGCGATTTTGCATGAACCCAACTCATCCTAACTATGAATAGTTTTAAAAAGGGATCAAAAGGCTGACAAGACGGATTCGATGGTCGATTGCCCAATGTAGATTATTTTTGAAAATTATGACTTTTTTTTAAAAAATCTTTAAAAGACGGATCGTGCGGGTACTCGCGTCCTGGTTCACAACACTTGATCACGGCTTTTGATTCGAGTTTCCCAAGGAGACCCTACTACATAAAATCAACAGGACTTCCAGGGGTTAAGTGAGTAAGCATTGGTGCAATGTTATTCTTTCCAAGTTCCCACCGATTATGTGTCTGTGATAAAGCTCGCCTCATTCTACCTATATCGGCACACAGTGGATCGAGTCAATCGGAAAGGCTAGACGTGACATTTTTGACAATAAAACTTCAAATTTTGATGTTCAATTTGTCACGTTCTAAATTTTAAGGGGTGCTTTTGGCAGAAAATTTCACAAGGAAACCAATGAAACCACTCATAAAATCTCAAAGTTTTGTAGAAACGGAGTTATAAGCTTTCAAAGTCTCCAAATTTTGTCCGACCGCTCTTATTGATTCGATCCACTGTGCGGCATCGCGGATAAAGTTCATTTGTTTGTGTGCTTTGGGATGGCGACTGGTCGAGATAGATTACCTAGCGATTTATTATGGGATAATCTCTTAACAGACACCGGACACCCCCCCCCCCCCCCNNNNTCGTCACACGTGAATCCGGCGGGAGGCGAAACGAGAAGTAAAACGATCTACGCATCGCGAAATCGTAAAGTGCGCGTGTGAATGTGACAATGACAACCAGAGCGAGTTCCAGTACGGGGTGCGCAGGTCATTGCCATTGGTTGGCGGCTTGCTTTCCAGGATGATCGCCATTGACGATCGTTTATCACCTATCGAGCCTTTTCTCTTCACGCGAATGAAAAAGCTCGTGCCTTTCAAAGTCGGAAGAAACGAGATATCGATCCGGCTGTCGGTCGACTCACGATGAGGATTGACGGAAAGCGTCCTAGTTGAGGAACCTCCAAGAAACACTTTTATTTCGACGACGGTGCGTTTTTATTTGCCAAGTTAATGGAAATGCACCCATTAGGAACGCGATTGTTGAACGCTTAAAATTACACGGAGAAAAAAACTTCGTGCGTGGGACCCGAAGTTGAGGTCATGTGGATCTCGGAAGTTTTCTGATCACGCATCCGAAAACTTGAGGTCGAGCTGCCGAAGTTCGGGCCAGACATCGAGGCACTTCGGTATGTACCGGAGTACTTCAGATGTGTGACCCGAACCCTTCGGTGTATATCGAAGTACTTCAGATGTCTGACCCGAACTTCGGCAGCTGGCAGAACCGGATAAGCTTTCTTGTCGCCCATGGGCCGCTTGTATTTCGCCACCCCCTTCTCATTCGTTTTGAAACATCAATAAAAACCATCAAGTGAACGTGCCGGAGGGGGAGGGGTGCATAAGACGCGTTTACTCGTATTGGACATATTTTTTGCGAAAGCCCTGTCAACGCTACTAGCAAAAGTTCACGGAAGTTACCGAAAGTTAAGTTCCGTAAACCTATCTCTGTGTGGACTAGGCCTTCCACTTACGTGAAATGAACGAAAAATTTATGAAAGAACAAACATAAATGGGGTTTGATAATTTTAACTTCCGCCGCTGCGCCGCGCTGACAGCACTGTGTTTGGCGCAATGCGTGAAGTATTCCTACAGTCTTGTATGCGCTACGCGTTTCACGCCGACCGCTGCTAACCGTAGCGACCGCACTGTCTTTGACGCAATGCGTGAAGTATTCATGAAGTCTTGTAGGCGCTCTTGTGTTACACGCCGACCGCCGCGCCGCGCCAAGGATTTCTCCTTTCCATTTCAAGTTCTTATCATCATTGCTCTCTACCCCGCCATTTCAGGCCAAATTCCGTGTTCGGTTTCTCTCTTATTGTTAGTTTTAGGACGACTAATTAAAGGTGTTGTCTATTGTAACACAGAAAGACGACAAAATTAGAGATATACTCTCAGGAAATGAGAGATTTTGTCACTTTTTCTCGTTTGTAATTTTCTTTCTGAATCCGATTTTTCTTTATAGCTACATTTAGAAGTAATTGCAAAATTTGCCGCCCCCTAAATTTGCCGCTATGGGCCATACGAAAATTTCAGCGGTCCATATGACCTCAACTTTGGGTCCCACGCACGAAGTTGTTTTCTCCGTGTAGGCTACGAAATACGACTATGCATGATAATCTCTAAAAATAAGAAATAATGACATTAGATAAAGGCAAGCGATCATAATTTTTAAAAAAATAAAAAATTATACCGCCTGGTTTATTTGATGAGATTGCGAGTCTCATGAGATGCGGAGAACAACGCAATCAAACGACCATTGACCGAGAGTGATTTTAACTCACAATCGGCTGGAAAAATTACATACAGTCGTTTTATGTAATGGTTTCCTTCACTGCCAGAGAACCTGCTGTTCCTTATTTTTTCAAACGTGTTGAGAGAAAATTATGGAACATTGAATCATACAGCACAGTATTGACACATTTAATTTAAAAAAAAATTTGAATTAGACGCGGCCCACGTTTCAGGATAGGAAGCGCAGAACATGATATAATTTCACTAATATATTTAACAGACTTCAATGTTTTATAATTTCACCATGGCACCTAGAAAATCATATAAATGCATTTAGGCTTACGTTATAGATTTCATGTCGCATTTCATTTTTTTTGAAGGACAAATAGTCAAGGTTTTTGTTTCAAATTCCGTGCAACTCATCAGAATCGTTCTTTTTCGCTCAGAAAATTTCGCTCTTAAACGTCAAAATTAGTTTACCTAAAGGGGGGGGGAATCCGAGCAAAGGATGACTCATTAAAGTAGGTTAAAGAAAACTCTACAAATCATGCTCACAATAGGTCATCTTATTTTTTTGCGATTTTGAGAGCCGGCAACGTTGTAACACATTTAAATAATGCACTTTGCAGAAAATTGACACAATAAAGATAAAAATCGGTAATTTTTTACTACATCGGCTGATCCGTTAATGTGATTCGACAAGCTCAAGTGACGTGGTCGAACTGGCATGCGATATATCGCATCGATTAGGTCAAAAATCTCGGCGGATTTTGAATTTTTAGCAAAAAAAAAAAGGACGATAGCCCCTGCGCAAGAGCCTAAAGAATAATTCTAAACCCAAAAATTGGACAAATTCGGAAAAATGAAAGCAGAATAGTGTTGGGAAAAAAAACCTCGCATTCGATACAGAAATCGATAGCTGAATGGAATGCGAGGTTTTTTTCCAAACAATATTCTGCTTTCATTTCTCTAAATTTTGCCGATTTTTGGGTTCAGAATGATTTTTTGGGCTTATGCACATGGGATATCGTCCTTTTTTTTTGCTAAAAATTCAAAATCCGCCGAGATTTTTGACCTAATCGACGCGATATATCGCGCGCCAGCTCGACCACGTCACTTAAGCTTGACGAATCATCTTAGGATGTTAGAGGAACAATCAAAGCTTCACTGAACGTCGCGTCGCGTGCGACGAGTACTGAACGGATATCATTATAACGCCTGGGTGATGCAACTATTTGAGCTCCATGGATGTCCGTGTTGCATACG